ACAGAGAGAGGTGTCCTGGCCTAGTCTTCCCTTAAGTACACCCTCCAATCTCCTGCAAGCGTTTCTTTCCCAAGGTCTGAGCGCAGTCGGAAGCTAGCTGACTTTGGAGCCTGGGAAACCCAGTCCATAGTGGGTTGGATTTTCTGCAAAGCAGAGCAGGTGAGGATGAGGAATAGCATCAAGAACAAACAGGTCCAGAGCCAGCACATCTGGAAAGACAAATGCTGCCTTAAAGGGAAGCTCACTATTGTCTGCAGGACCGCCACTGATGTGTGCCCAGTGAGGAATGATGATCCATCAGACCCAAGATGAGAAGTGGAAGAATTAGGAGCTAACTTGAGCTGAACGTTGTAGAACAGCGGTTCTCAACCTGTGGGTCTCGACCCCTTTGGGGGGTTGAACAACCCTTTCACAGGGGTCGCCTAAGACCATCGGAAAACACATACATAATTACATATTGTTTTTGTGATTAATCACTATGCTTTAATTATGTTCAATTTGTAACAATGAAAATACATCCTGCATGTCAGATATTTACATGACGATTCATAACAGTAGCAAAATTACAGTGATGAAGTAGCAACGAAAATAATTTTATGGTTGGGGGTCACCACAACATGAGGAACTGTATTAAAGGGTCGCGGCATTAGGAAGGTTGAAAGCCACTGTTGTAGAAGGAACCAGCTCTACCACCTTCAAAGCAATGAGCAGACCCAGTACCAGCCATGACCTTTTCATTATTACCCACTGCATAAAATTAAGCAGGGACAGCAGCAATAGAAAACCTTATTTTGGTAGGAAGAATTTAAATTTGTGTTTTGTAGGCACTGTTCTTGTGGATGTTGTTCCTCTAAATAACCCTGATCTCCAATCCAGAGGCATTTATTTATAATTCAATAAACTCAGTGCTGGGTAATCATATTGTTTTCACAGGTCAGTCCTATTCCCAAGCCCTCCTACTGCAAGACTGAAGTAATTTCTTTACAAGTGATATTCGACAGTTGTCCGTTGAGGCAATGTTCTATTATTAACCAACGTGTAATCAGTTCATTAAAAAAATACCTCAACTGAATAGCATGCAACTTAATACAATCCACCAAAATGGAGAAATCCATGCTTTCTCACAACGGGGAGCAAAATTACAGTGCAGGGAAGCTGGAAGCCAGAAGATGCCAGCTGGCAGGGCAGCGAGTGTTTCAGATTACCGCGTGTTTATGACCTCTGTGTTCTAGAAAAAAATTAATTAGATTATGCTATTTGAGAATCTCGGAATGCCCTGGCGCTGTGCCAGCTTGATCAGAACCACCCATCTGACATTTAATTAAACTGTTTTAAGTTTCACCTGTTTTTTTGTTGGTTTTTTTTTTGAGCTTTGAAAAAAGGCAATAAGTGTAGGAACTAATAAATAATGGTGGAATGCTGAGTTCCTTTCGGATGGCAATATTCAGTGTAAAATTATGGGCTGTTCCAGGGCTTACTGTACATGGACATGAGATGAAACAGTACCCTTTCTTCAAGAGTATGCCATGTGGGCCCTAGCTGGTTTGGCTCAGTGGATAGAGCGTCCACAAAGGGTCCTGGGTTCGATTCCGGTCAAGGGCACATGCCCGGGTTGAGGCTTGATCCCCAGTAGGGGGTGTGCAGGAGACAGCTGATTTATGATTCTCTCTCATCACTGATGTTTCTATCTCTCTCTCCCTCTCCCTTCCTCTCTGAAATCAATAAAAATCTATTTTTTTAAAAAGAATATGCCCTGTGGGAACTCTGGTTGTAGGAAAGTATCAAGCTGTTTTGGAAAATTCAGATCATTCTCCAATAGGGTGTCTATAGCTCAGGGTGGGAAGCAACTGAAAATGTTTTGATCACAAGTCAATGCCCTTTGAAATGGTATCTATGTGGAGAAAAATACCTGGCAGAAAATTAAAATTCAGCACAATCGTTTTACCTAAATAACACCCACTCCCATATTTGGCTGACTTTACCACTGAATGAAGCTCACCCATCCATCCATCTATCCATTCAACAGATATCAACAGGTTACCTAATTTGTGGGTGTACTGGGGACACACAGCAGAGAACAAAGTAGAAGTCCCTGCTTTTGTGGAATTTTACATTCTAAAGGAGATCGATTTTGAGCATAGCAGTGAATATGGAATATGTTAAATGGTTATCTACACTAATAAAAGAGAAACATGCAAATTGGTGTCACTCCACTACGCCAACCAGCCAATCAGAGCGACTATGCAAATTAACCCAACAAAGATGGTGGTTAATTTGTATATGCAGGCGCAGAGCAAAGACTGAAGGCTCCGGCCAGAGTGAAGACTGAAGACTCAAGACTCAAGACTGAAGAGGCTTGGCTTCTCCACTGCGGCCGGACCAAAGGCCTGGGTCCCGGGTGCCGGAGGAAAACCGGTACCAGCAGCCAGGGGAAGGAAGGCCTATTGTGCGAATCTCCGTGCAATGGGCTTCTAGTAAGTGCTATAAAGAAAGGAAAATCAAGTAACAGGAAATAAAGCCTTGGTCCTGAATAAAGAGTGTGACTGGCTTCTATGAGGAACAGAAAGGCTTAGTGTGGCTGGAGCACAGAAGCGAGAGGGTGACATGGCCCAAAAAAGGAGGGCTTGGATCTCACAGGTCTGCAGGCTGACATGGAGACCCTGGCATTGACTGAGTGTGGGAGGAATCAGTCAGGGTATTAAATGGTGAAGTGACGTGATCTTATAGTTTAGCAGGACACCTCTGGCTTTTGTGTTGAGACCAGATGGAAAATTTTGTATAGTTCTGGTGTAGACATGCCGTGAGGGTCATTGGTAACCTTACACACTACCTTTGGGCATTGGTATTTGATTCAGTGAAAAAAAAACACATCAAGCTGGTGGTTTACTACCTCTGGGCTAATGATGAGAGGATGTATCAGTATCCCTGAGGGCAACAGAAGCAGTAGGAGATATATTAATACATAGCAATATATTAATAACATAAATTATATATAACATAATGTATTCATCATATACAAGTAATTATATGTAACATATTATGTTAAGTACATAGGGTGTCCCCAAAAAAAGTGTATACACGCTTTAACAATTAATAATTCACTTAATTTTGAAAATGAACTGTATGTTAATAAATACTGACTTTATAATCATTCAAAGTGAGTATACATTTTTGGGGGGACACCCTGTATGTATATGGAGAGAGAGAGAGAGAGAGAGAGAGAGAGAGAGAGAGAGAGAGAGAGAGAGAGAAAGATTTTTAAGCAACTGGCATTTGCAATTGTGGGCTGCCTAGGCAGGTCCTAATCTGTGGAGCAGGCCAGCAAGGAGGTCAGTGCAGAAACTCTCATGCAGAAGTGATTCTCCAGACCAGCGGTCACCAACTTTTCGGACCTCACAGACCACCAGTGGTCCACGGACCACTGGTTGGTGCCCCCTGCTCCAAACCACAGGTGGACTGCCTTCTTCCAGAGGAAAACCTAAGTTCTGTCCTCAAGGCCTTTCAATGACTTGGAGCAGAGCCACTCAGAACATCTGGGAATCTCTGTTACACAAAGCCAACGACTGCAGACGTTCATCACGTCACAAAATACCCTCGCACCGACGCGTAGATGAGCGTTTGGTTGAGTGACTGGCTGCTATCGCATAGCTAAGTTGACACATAAGGCTGATCATCACAGAGGACACACCAATGACAAACTGATGGCTTTGTGTAGACTACAGCAACTCTCTTCTCTACCTTCTGCTTTTCAACTGGCTCTTTTAAATGATGTAGACAGCCTCAGATTTGGATTGCCTATCTGACAGGCCGTAGACAGGTTCCAAATGACAAAATATCCTTTAGGAGGCCTGAACTTGGTCTTGTTTGTGAACCCGTTAGCACTTGGGAGCCTGGCTTCTGCATCGAGATGTTCTAGAGCCAAAGGGGTGAATTTCAGCCTCAAACAGCAGCCACCTGGACTGCGTGTCCAAATCCATGGCTACTGCCATCGTCAACCCTTTAATCCAAGAAGCGACTACCTGGTCTGCTGTGTTCAGAACTCAATACTCAAATGCCCGTTTAAGAACAAAACAGTGCTTGTGTGACTATGTGGGTCATGGTAAATTCTAGGCATGAGGAATCACAACCATCCAGTTCATCCCAGTGACCCCAATGAACTCTGCTCAGTAAATATTTGCAGAGTGACTGGATGCCAAGGCATGCCTTGAGTTTGTGCAACGTGGTGACATTCCCACCGCTCAAACTGTGCTATTACAAACTTTATCTTGGAGAACTCACGGGAGGTGGTGAGGTGGCTCTGAACCTAGGAAGCCGCTATTGGCCAAATTATGTGCTCTTGGAGAGGAACATTTCCTGCGTAATATTAAAAAAATAATAATAAAGAAAAGAAAAAGGAAGAAAAGGCCCAGCATGACTAATATGGTAAGAATGGTCTCATCTTCTCCAGCAGAAGAAAGAAGTCAGGTAGAGCTTCGCAACAATCCCTGGTCACAAACCTCAGTAGACAACCAGGTCATTAACTAACCACACGCATGTGGCTCGTGGAATGGAACATCCCAGAGCTCTGAAACCACAGGCATCTATCTGCTGGATTAAAGGAAGCCGTTCCACAGGCCCGGACAGAAAAAGGATGTGGTGAACTTTCAAACGGTGCTGATTTACAGGCAAAAAGGTGCAAGGTTACGGCACACACAAACCTGAACGGATTAGGGTTCTCCTGGCCACGCCCTTCCAGCAACCCTGGCTGCTGCGGGTTCTAGGAAGACACCAGGAAGTGTCACCTTTGCCATGACCATGCCAGGACTTGTCCCCGTCATCTGAGCCGTGATCCTTCAGGAATGGCCGTGAGACCCCTGCCTTTGGTTACCAGCCAAGCCAGGGCGGGGCATTTTCTTCCTGTTTGGTTAAAAGGAGAAAAAGGGAAAGGCTTACCTGTTTGCTTTCACTCGCTATCTGAAAGGTCAAGAGGTAGAGGGCATTTCCCTCCGCAAATAAGTCCTGGAATGTATTTGCGAGCTGACGTTTCATGGGCAGTCGCTGTTTCTGAGCCACGGGTTCCACTGCTCAGGAAGGTGAAATGGGGAGTTCTTTCCTGAAAGGAAAAAAACAAAAAGGGCAGCTTTATATTTATAATCTGACATCTGCGGAATGCAGGGTCATCTTTCAGACTGACTGTGGGCTA